CCACTCTCTGCCTTATTCTGTAAGAATGAGTTAAACTTTATTTTTGCAGGAGGCAAATATGGGGTTTAAGTACCATCACTGTCATCATCTGTTGACCAAGACAGACATGTCTAATGGGTTATGATTTACTTGCTTGCTGATCTCAGACTCAGATAATCTTAACTTGTTATTGCAGATAGCCACCTCCAACTGTCTCAGAGAAAAAACCAATGTACTATATCAGGATCTTAAAACCAGAAGTTTAAACTGGGATCCATTGCTTGGCTTCACAGGTTCAGTAAATCCCAAGCAACAAAATGCAAAATGGAAATACGTTCAACAGATATTTAAAAGGGTTCATGGCTCCTCAAAAAGTGGGGGAAAAGATCCCACTATAACAGGTCAAACTTCTCTAATGAACAGTTTAACTTTTGGGGCTATTTCCAAGAAAATGTGGTAGTGTCCACAGTATAGAACATGCTTCTAAAATCTATGAATTATCATCAGCATTTCATCCCCATTCTAGAACACTTTCAGGTAGAGGTTACCAGAAAAAGTAACAATTTTCCCAAGGACCTGTTTGGGCAGTCAGTCAGAGAACACTTACTCGTGTACCTCTTATCTTGGTATGTGGTACCCGTCCAGTCTGCAACCTAGTAAGAGCAACAGGGAAAACAAAGCACACAGGTCACGTAGGCAACTTTCTGTTGACCCAGAAAACCCCAAACTGAGGACACAGTGTGGGAAAGTAGCAGAAGGGCTGGCTCACAATGCCTCTGTAAGTACCTAGCTCTCCTATGACCACTGGAAGAACCCAGAGGTTATAACCTTTCTCAGCCGGTGTCCCTATAAGGAACACAGGAGTAATGCTTTTGAGAGAATAAAATTAAAATTAACTCAGAGAATAGCAGCCACAGATTTAAAGATTCAGACTCCCGCTGATAGACAAGTACCTTTCCTAGCCGATCTCCTTTGCTGAATGGCTGGTAGGGCATATCTCGAAACTGCTCAGGGACCGCACAGGGACCCCATCCTGAGGGGTTGTCCTGGATCACGGGTGTCATGAACTTTGCCATCTTCGAAAACCTTAAATATAAAAATAATATAAGTAGCTGCATGACGAAAGGTCTCAAGGTAAAAAAAAGTTTATTTGAGGTAAACTAGGACATGATTCTTTAATTTAAATGATTAAATTAAAAAGCAACACATGAAATGGAACCCTCAACTCTTAGTTACTTCTTTGTTTTCTTGTAAATAATATTGTGAATACTTATAACTTAGAAGACTGCTAACAAAACTACTTTACCATATTTCATTGATTTTTTTTTCCACTGTAACATCTTTGAAATAAATTTATACCTCATACTTCGTGGGGTGTCCTATCTTAATTGGCAGTTTTTTCTTCTTAGTATTATATAAAATAATGGTGCTTTTTAAATTTGGTGGCCTATCATAGATAAAATGTAGTAACTTCTTTTTCAAGTGTAATAACTATGTTCAGGTTCTCAGAAACACCTTCACCAAGGAATAAAATATTTAGCTTCCCTAAGCCTATTTCTTCATGTGTAAAATAAATAAATTCCTTGCTTTATTAGTGAACACACACAGAAATACTTTCATTGTAAAATGCCACACAATTACTCAGACTTGCAAAAATACATTTACACGGAGTGCTCAGTAAAATAAGAGTCTGCAAGTATATCCTGAAATTCAACTTTTTCTTTCTTGTTCTTCCAATATTCTGTAATCAGTGCAAATTCTTATGCAGAGCAAATGGACACAGAACCCAGCAAAAGGCCTTCAGAAGCTGAGGAGGTTACGAGAAACCTTCAGCCATAAAGGTAGCTATACATCAAATGTTCATAAGTAAGTACCAGGCATAGCTCTTAGAGCTTACCATGCATATTCATTAAAACCCCCCAACAGTCTGTGGTAGGGGCCAGTATTATATTCACTTTTGAAATAAGAAAACTGAGGCAGAGAGAAGTTAAGAAATTACCCCAAATCACAATGCTAGCTGATGAAGAACCTGAACCCTGGCAGCCTGGCTCCAGAGTCCATACTCTGCATAATGCTATAGGTCCTCTCAGGAGAGTAAAAACCAGAGCCTCCCAACAGATGTTTGACAGACCCTGGACAGTTTCTATGAAAACCCCATAAACTTATGCATTACAATCCTCTGAAAATGTTCAGATGGTGAGTTCCCAGAGGAAAACTCATTACACAAATATTTCTGGAGGCTGGAGAGCAATCAGAGAGCACAGGTTACCCAATTCAGTAAACTCTCATTGTCCCACCTTGGGGAGACTAAGGGTTCCTACAGAGGTGACAGCAACAGGGAACTGGTGTGACAGCAACATGAGTTGGGTGACAGCGAGAGAATAAACCTGCAAGCTCCACAAATCTCCAACTCTGAACTTAAGTAATACTACAAAAAGAGGACTGAGGGAAGGGGTGGCAGCCATAGACTGGCTCATGTTAAATATTTATTGAGCTCCTACTAAGTGTCAGGCACCATGCTAGATGCTTATATCACTAACTCCCCCACACCCCCCTTTAGAGATAAAAACTTGCAGCTCAGCCAAATCAAGGAGTTTGATCTACTCATCATTTCAAAGTAAACTTGATTTCCAGGGTTGGCTGCCCTAAGTCCAGCATTCTTCCCATTATATTCTAGCTGGACAGCAGCCTGAAAAGATCTGGGGTTTCAGACCGTATTTAATGGCACGATAACGATGCCTCAAAAGACACTTTAAAAATCATCTTGTCCTGTCTCAAGAAGGAAATAGGCCCAACGCTTGCCAGGCGTTCTTCCTGGGGGTGGACATCCGGATTTCCACACATGTAAAATGAGTGAGCAGAATGGAATCAGTAGAGAAACGGAGCCCTTCAGTTAAAACGGCGTGACAGCTGTACTGGCTACAGGAGCAGAATGGGGAGGCACGAACGGGGCAGTGAAAAGGGGCCTTGTTGCTGGCAGGCCACGGTACTGTGTAGATTATCGCTGCCACTACAGAGCCTGTGCCATCAACCCCTGGGGTTGCTCGAACTACTCCCCTCTAGCCTTCCACTTCACATTAAAGGGAAGAAAACCTTTTTTTTTTAAGACTGTGAACTCCCCGGAGCAGGGCCGAACACCGCTCAGCCTGGCATTCCCAGTACCTCACTTGGAGAAACTCAAACTTTGGCCACTTAAAAGACCCTGAAATCCAGCTGGGTTAAGTGACATTATTAAATTCTCTCAGCCCTTAGCCACTAAGCAGAGTCTAAGACCAGGGACCTCACCCACAAGGCCATGCCATGCACCCCGCAGTATGCTGGACCTGGGGCCCGGAAGGCGGATTCCTGCCACCTCCAGTGGAGGGACGACAGCAGCAGGCGGGGACGTCCGGGGGTCTCTTCCGGGAGGCCTCTGAAGGCCGAGCCCCGCCCAAGCCGGCTCCGGAGGTCCCCAGAACCCTACGGAACACGCCGCTCACCTGCAAGGGCCTCGGCCGGCCCGGATGGCGAAAGATAGTCCGGGCCAGAGAACTCGCAAACGCCGGCACTCGGAGAAACCAGGAAAGGAAGGAGAGTGCGCGCGCAGCCACCGGCGCCGTAAGTCCGACCGACGCTGTCGTAAACTGCTCTCCCGCTTCCTTTGGCTCCGTCGGCGGAACGCGAGTCGTAAAGTGAAGGCACCTCGGGAATTTGTCACTGCTCTTGGCGAGGTGACCTCATTAGTCTTCTAGTCACCGAGACACAAGAAGGGTGTTTACAATTACGTCATGAGGCATTCGGCGACGCCGCAAGAGGGCGTCCAGGTCTATTGAAACGTGGCGTCCGTGCGGTCAAAGCTGGCGGAGGCCGGAGCGGCGGACGGCCCTCTGTATCCCACAATGCTTTGCGGGACACTTCGGCCCCTCCGTATCCCACAATGACCCGAGGCCACGGCTTTCTCTAACCAATCACGTGGCTTGGTTCTCTCAGGTAGGGGCTGGTGGAGCGCCCCAGGCAGATTTTGTTATTTCCGCCCCCCCTTGC